CAGCTGTCCCCCATGCAGTACCTCTCTGGACCTGTTGGAGACCTCCTCTCTAGATAATAATAATAAAACTGCTGCTGCCGCAGTGCATGCTGGGACAGCTGTCAATCTCGAGAACAGAGAATTGTGCTCTGATGCATGCTGGGTAAAGATGGAGGGACAAGAAGAATAGATTGTTCGCTCTCGGTCTGCTGTTCTGGTGAATTTGAACAGTACTAGGGCTGAGGATGATGACGTTTCACGAGCACATGAGAACGCACAAGTACACATATTGAGAAACGGCACAAATGTCCTGAATTCACACATATTAACATTTATTTGCTGCATTACAGCTGGCGAACCAATGAAGAGACTGGGCTCAGCTCCTGCAGAGCTAAAATAAAGAGCCAATAAAGCCCCATCTTTCAGTATTAGCTCTTACTGCCGTGAGCCAACAAGCTAACGGAAGCTAGCATTATTCTTCTTCCCTACTCCAGGCGCTGTATGTAGAGCCCCCCCTACAGGTTTGGTGGGAGACAGTTCAGTAGATATCAGCGACTTATAGCCCAGTGTGACTTATATGTGTACGATTCCAGTTTTTTTTATGTAGCTGCGGGTAATAGTGATGTGCGCTCTATAGTCTGGAAATTACTGTAAGTTTGGAATTGGAATTGGTATCTTTATTTCAAACATGCAAGAGAAAAAAACAATAAAACAATGTTTAAAAACATTGGAGAGAGAAACAACAACCACGGTACCTTTCTTTCCTGAGTTAATATACCACTATTACATGTGCGAAAAGGAGTAGGAAGAAGTAAAACTTATGTACTCCTACCCCTTTAATTCTAGTATTTCTTCAATTTACAATATTTATAATTATGTTGCTATATATATATATATATATATCCATATATAAATGTATATACACACCTACCTACACATATACATACATAAATATTTAAAGTTGAATTCATTGAGGGTTTTTTGAGCTTAAAGTTTATTTTAGAGAATTTAAGAACCTAGTTAAGACCACATCACTTTTATTTTGTGCTGATAAGTAAAAACCAAGAACTGAAAAAGGATGTACTTTCTTTTTGTTATCTCTGAAGCTGTGTTGTAGACAAAGAATCAATGGGCTGTTAAAAAAAACTCTTTGCTCTCTCTCTCACAGCAGCGGCAAAATTCAGACGAGAGTCTTTGTTTTGCCCGGATGAGCTGGATTCTCTCTTCTCTTACTTTGATAATGGATCTGGTCCTCGGAGTAAGTTTTTTCGTTTAGCACTTAACTTTGTGCTAGTGTGAAAATAACATGAGATCTTGTGTAAGCAGATGTTTTAGATTGCAATAAAAAGCGGCAGTTTCTAATGTGTTCATGTTGTCCTGCAGGTCTAAGCAGCGACAGCGGCCTGGGAGGCAGCACAGACGGCAGTACAGACATCCTGGTGTTTGGCTCAGTGGTGGACAGCGTCACGGAGGAGGGTGAGGCTAGTTATAAGGAGGTAGAGCAGAATGTAGGAAGATATTTAGACCTTTTTTATGAGCGACCACTTATTGTAATCTGCAGAGTGTGAAGAATCTGAAGACTCGAGCGGTGAGACCGAGCCTGAGACGTCAGACCCGGAGGACATGAGGGAGATGGATCCTGGAACCCTGCTATATAAAGCCTCTAAAGCTCGCAATCTGCCAGTGATGGCTGAAGCTCTAGCCCACGGCGCCGACGTTAATTTGGTCAACGACGAGGACGAAGGAAAGACGCCCCTTATACAAGCTGTTACTGGGGTGAGTTAGTCTGGGCAAAGAAAAGGCAATCTGATTTGATACAATATTATAATAGAGTGCAGTCTTCGAAAACTTTTTTCATCATCACTTCAAAATATAATTGCTTTGTTTTTAAATTCCTTTCAGGGTTCTCTGGTTGCCTGTGAGTTCCTGCTGCAAAACGCTGCTGATGTCAACCAAAGAGACGCAAGAGGGAGGGGCCCATTGTATCACGCTACTTATCTAGGGCACACAGGGTGAGTCATAAAAAAACAATAAGCAAAAAAACTTGTATATTTATTTTATATAT